AGTCAACAAACGAGATGACATGGCCTTTCACCTATGACCCGTCTCGAAAGGATTAACAGGAAAAATGTTATTTGATTAAGGGGAAAAGCATTGGTATAGAAAATAATTACTGCAGGGTTATTATTATCAAGGATGTATTTACTAGAACTGGTAATCTTTAGTATTTTTAAAGCATTTAACACACTATATACCTTCATTAAATAAATAAAAGGTTGAATATAAGATAGATGAAAAAAACGTGTAAAAAATAATAGTGATAATGATTCTGCAATTAATATTAAAAAACTTGCAAATTTAACTAGTACATTTGTTTTACAGCATTAAATTTTTGTCAGTATGACATTGATATGGCATCACTCCTTAACTTGTTTAGAGAAAAATGTCATAGCCCTTTCCAAAGAAGGATGTTTAAATAATGTGATTGTTAAGTTATCTATAACTAAAGGACACATGATTACAAAAGCAGGAACCTTCGATGTTCTCTTTGGAAGTCGAAAAACGTAACATTATAAATTTTTGTTAGTTACTGAATCTTGTGGGCTGCTAAACAGTTTTAATCAAATAAAAAGAAATCATGCATTAGTGAGGAATAAGTTATGTAAAAATTAAGTAAAACATTTTGTTTTACATGAATATTAAAATGAACTGTTTATTATTTTAAGGAAAACTAACTGCTGAGCAAATGAAAGATCTGTCTGATGTTAAACTTCAAGTTGCAAAACTTTATGAAGTCTTGCATGTGGATGAACATCAGATTGAACAAGAAAGAAAGCTGATTGGTGAACTAGAAGAACTGAAACAGAAACTGGAGCCTCTTGAAAATGTAAGGGTTTCTCTGAGGAAAAGAATTGTGTTGTCATTTGAGCAAACATTTTGTTTGTTTTTAGGAGGGCAGACAAAGTTGAACCCTATTTAGAACTCGTGCATCAATTGTGATAACTACTTAAGAACTAGAGGAACAGAAACAATCGTGGACATTTTTACTTAGTACTTTGCATATATTAATATTAACAATTTCTCATAAACATAGCCATTAACTAGACAATTTAAAAACATTACTTTATAAACACTTAGACTTAATAAAAAAATTGATATTTTTGCGTATGAAAGCATTGTAATGTTTACTGATAATTTGCCAAATTTCTTTAACATTCATTACTAATTTAAAAGTTATAGCATGAAAACTATAACAAGCACAAAATTGTTATGAGGTCTGTCCCAGGGTCCAAGCCCATGCTGAAATAGTTAATAGTGAAAGCAGTTAAGTCATTTAAGATATAATAACAAATACTAAATATTGGTTCTCCATTAATAAAATAAAATATG